AACGCCAGACTCCAGGAAGAAGGCCGGCCCTACTATGCACATGAATTCCTGGCAAAAATGATACAATATCAACTATCAAAACACTTCTCTCCATAATCTCGTAAAACTAAGTCGCTAGCGACTTTTTACGTCCCTGGGTATGGTCGATACGATTGGAAATGTGCTGGCGGTGGAGGACTGAACTGCGAATAGTCGGATTGAGGAGGCGGAGTCGGATTCGATATCCACGTATACGTCGCGGGATCATCGGCGGGGTTCAGCCCATCACCGGGCGTAATAGGGGATACTATATCGTCCTCGCTCGGTTTCGATACTGGAATGTACGTAGACGGCCTTCCCTGCTGCGGCCGCGTCTCCCTAGGCACGGCAGGATCGTAGTTGGTAGGCTGCGGATAGCCTGCGAAGTGCTGACTCGACTCGTTCTGCACCATCTGCGGGGGAAGTTCTCCGTAGAAATCGGAATGATACTGCGGCTCGGGTAGGCCCCCGGGGTAAACACTTGCTGCTGCATAATCCCTTCCTGTATATCGTGGTGAGCTCTCGCCTCCGTTAGCCTCCGCCATTCTCCTCTTGCGGTAGCGGAGGAAAAAGAAAATCGCGGCGACGATCAACGCGAGCCCCGCAAGGCCGCCGATTACCCCGCCCGCGATAGCCCCGGCTCGGTGACTTGAACTTGTGCCCCCCATCGCGGCCGGCGTCGATGAGGATGAAGGAGTATCGCTTGGAAATACAGTAACAGTTACTGGGTCGCTCGGGTCGCTAGTCGTTGAAGGTAGATCACTGGCGGTGGTGCTAATGTCGCTTGTTGGCATCCAACCCGGAGGCGGAGTCGTCCCGATTAGACTCGCTCCTGCCACCGCACCACATGCTAGGAAACTGATGCCATAGAAGTTATCAAAGAACGAGTCGGCGTTGTACGAGTAGGTTACACAATGGGGGCGAGCCGTGTCGTTACTTTCTGCGATTTAGTCGAAAAGACTTAAGGTCTATATGAATGCAACCTTACCATAGTAGAGTCCCGGAATTGGATTGGTATGTCGATGCCTGCGATTCGATACATGTCGTCGGTATCCTGCAGTTACGACGATCCGACTCGGTACAGCATCCCGCAACGCCAGCCGCTTCTCGTAAGAAACAGTATCCTCCAGCACTGCATGTTATGGCCGACTCTATTAAGAGTTAAGAGCTTCTCACGAGTAAACCAGGTGCAAATTCATGGTTAATGTAAATCGCCACCTACCATCAGAGTCATCATCCACTGGATACCCGCACGTTTGTTCACTAGAGACGCCAAAGGCGGCTGTGGTCTGTTGCCGTCTCCGGAGGTCAAGGTCGAACGGATTGGCCGCCGGCGGCGCAGTCGGTTTCGGGGTCCATCCTACAGGATCCAACTGAGTAGTAGTAGCAGTAGCAGCGGCTGCTGCAGCGCCGGCGGCAGTATCACTAGCCGGACCCCAATTCCCAGCATTCTGGATTCCGGACCGAAGCAGCAGCAGCCTATTACTAGCATCCGCCAAAGCGATCGCGTAACTCAAGGTGGCCAGCCTGAGAGCGGTTGTCATGTTGTTTTTTTCGATGCGCGAATGACCATGCAAGAAAAAAAAAAGAATCCGGGGGCCAGCGCTTCGCGCAAGAGGGGGGTGGGTGGTGCGGGCAAGCCGCTTTTAACCTGCAGAGTGTTGCGGCGGCTTACCTACCGGTACCGGTTATCCATCCACCCAGTGAGGCTTTCAGCTGAGACGAGATCCCCACCTCTATAGTATGGCTGATGAGACCCTAGGATTACTGGATGAGACCCTGGATGTGGTCTGGGGGGGACCTCGTGCGACGTCAGATTGGGGCGGAGTTCCTACCGATACATGAGAAGAAGCAAGTAAGCAAGCCAATATCACATATATCAACTTGAATGTATGTACCTACCATATATGACGATGATTATGATGATGATGATGATGACCAACCCTCTCTGTATTTGCTTTGATCTAGGTAGGTATCCAATCGGCCGGCTGAAAGATGAGACCGGGGTTGCTTTCTGCAGAATGCAGACAAACGCCGCAAGCTTACCAACAAGACCGGTACACAAACGTGTTCTATGCGGTATTTGCGTCACTTGTCCTTGTCCCAATTCTCCTTCCTATAATAAATGATAGACGGCACTACTCAAAAGTCCACGGATCTCGGTATATTAAGAGAGCAAACCTGTATCTTCTTTGCAACATGCATATTATCCCACAGCCGATCAGCCAGTCAGCCACGGGATATGGGGTATGTATGGTAAGACGGTAAGAATCTGGATCTATCGATGTGTGCTCAGCATCGCCAAATCCAAAACTGCCACTCAGCCGATTTGGTGCACTTTTGCGGCTAGATGGCATCAGGCTGGATTGGGAACTCCGGTCATCCAGAATCGCCGAATTGCTGCTCGCCACTTGGTTAATGCAACTTGCCGTCGTACCAATGTACAGATGGGTGTAGGTACATAGGTATGTATGGTCATTACCAGAAAAAAGCAATGTGCTAATATGTATTGCTCGAACCCCGCAAACGAGGGAAGGATTTCGAAAGGTGAGATCTGCCGATAATCATTCCTTGGGGGAAAATTGGTCTGAAAATAAATTTAGTCATTTATGACGGTCCAGTAGATCGGGAGGAAATTCTAACAAGGTGTCAGCTTCGCCATCTGTCTGCCAGCTGGGAGGTCTCACCCCTATTTAGGGATGATCTGCAGAGTATACCCGATATAACAGTTGAGTACTTCCAAACCCATCTCCATTCATGACATCGATTTAGAAGGACGTCCATGGATGATATTAGGTTTATTTGCAATCCTACTACTATCCTTCATATTCCATTACTACCAAGGCCAGAACCATTGAGGCTCAATGGGATCGAACATCACCTCCACGGGATCGGCAAAGCAGGCAAGATGACAGATAAGCAAGTCAGCCTTGACCGCTAATTCAATCTACATCCATCGTCGCATTTAAAAATAAGGAAAAGGACGAATTCTATTACAAGGTATGGAAGAAACAGCAAGGAATGGAATTCGTTTCCGATGTGATGTAAAGGAGCCAACGTAGATAGGTAGACATTCATGGACGACCTCGATTGCGAATTCTACGACACCTAAAATAGAATATTGACACCAACTAAATCAACTAATGATCACGTATTGATCATCAATAATCCTGTGCTCGTCCTATTCAAATCAACTATCTAACTTAGGATGCGCCTAACGATGGCCGCTTGAGTCTACGAAAGCGAGATGCGCTTACCGTCGTCCAGCTTGCGCCTCATGATGTGCATCACCTTCATTCCTGGCAGATCTTAGCAGTTCGCGCTTTGCTACATGGAGATTGGAGAATAAGTAGCCATGCCGCAGGTTAAGGATCGCTCTCGAGCTCGTACGGATCTGCTGTGTTGGATGAAGTAATGTGTATACATGCTCTTGATGAGCTGTACGCCGATAGATGGCACCAGGTCGTACGGCGGCTCGGAATTAATCCGCTCGGCGTTACGGGATGAACGATGATTCATATCGCTGATCAATATTGTCATCAAGCTCTTCCTCTTCCATCCTTCTAAGGAGATATAGACCAAGGTGCCATATTCAATTACTAGTCTCGCAACCGCATCGAGTGTCATAACGGGGAATAATACACGTCAACCTTAAACGGGGTACCTTTTTATCTACGTTCATCTCGCATGATGGCCTCTTGCAGATCTTGTGACGTGCAATAGGAAAATCCGACCAAGAAGTTATGGTAAGTCTGTCGCAGTACAATATATCAGCAATCACACCCTCGTCTCTAACGTGCTTATATCCTCTAGAGCTCTCTTCTCGCTTCCATAAGTCAGTATAGGTTACTAGGAGCTCGCGAATTAGTACATGGTGTGCGTCCAAACCTATCTCCAGAATCTGGTTTGAACTTCTTCGTCTCTCTCAGTAGGCAAAGAGACTCATCAAGCAACGGGAAAGGGAACATGGAGCGGGATGAGATGCGCGAGCGGACTAACTATTAATAGATATGAAGCATTTATCTATAAAAGCGGCTCTAGTAAACGTGGATCATATGGGTTAGGATTACCTACAGATGATCTTACAAGACTCCTCCGTTACTTGACATCTCATGCGTCATTGCCTGGATGATCCGGCTCTTTAGCTAAACCAACTGCATCCGGATTAACAAGGGCGAGGACACCACGAAGTGCGTCGTATTGCCTTCAAGTGGCTGTCAATGCCATGAGTAAATATTCATTTCCAAAAGGTCGAGCACTAAAGACATAACACGTACTAACTAACCATTTATAAACTGAAAAAGGTCTTGACACCACCGAAAGAAGTGCTTCTTAGGCCAAAAATCAACGTATCTCACCGTCGAGATCATTCTTACCCTACGGCTTTTCTGATTCTAAATCATTGACACATGCCTTCTTGCTTGGAGAATAGCCTATTACATCTTAGATCGCATAGTCACCACAACAGGGTGTTATATGTCTGACCAAAATGTACTGCAACTCGTAATGTGGTTTATAAGTAGGAAAGGTCCAAAGACGCTTGTTCTACCTGAAAGAGACTACACAGAACATCTACTTCGGATGATTAGTTACATGTGCGTTATAAGGTAGTCGATGAAGAATGCAAGACGAAACTTAACTGGCAATGTATACGTTGTGCGATTTGGTATTGTACTTCTCTCCTGTACCTGACATATGTGTGTGAATAAGGAATGTTGGTTGTAACTGGGCAGTTGCGCGGTGGTATAAATTCGGTCCTGCTAAAGATGGGCACCTACCTACCTACATACATAGGTAGGCAGGTACTGACGGCAATATCCGTAATAATGGACATCAGATGAAATCTAACATACTGTTTGCCTATGCACCTCTAGTTTGACAAGTCGCGCCTGCTTTCTGGAATAGCTAATAGAGAACATTCCTTAATAATCGCAATTATGATCAAAAACTTCCACAGCGACAAACGCGGAAACACATGAGCAACCGTACTAGAGAAATGGTTAACTCGTCGGCCTTCTATAATTCCTGCAAGATCAGGAAGCCGAAGATTCTCGGTTCGAGTCCGGGGTACGGTGAATTTTTTTTTTTTCCTTTTCCTCTCTTTTTTTCTACTTTAATTTTATGTCGTTAATTGAAACATGAATGATCCCCTTATGAAAATCATTGTTACCTTATAATTTTTTAAATGTCGAATAAAGTATTCGGCACGGGTGTATTTACTATTTCATCCCGGTACGTCCTTCTCTTTGGGATCCACCAGACGGCGCTGCACCCCCTTTTCTTTTCAGCTAACTCCCGCAATATCCCCTTTTCTCGCTCAGGTTCTGAGGTAGGACATCATAGAACACCATACATGGAAGCTGAACGGATGAACTGTAAATGTCGGAAAGATAAAGATCATCGTTGTCTGTCCGCGCCCGGTTACCGCGTGCGAATCCCTGGAGGGATCCAGATTCAAATGATAACGTACCGATTCACTCCGGCCCTTGTTGCCCTACGAAACTCATGTCTTTTTCATCCACGCTACCAGAGGTTGGCTATCCATAAATGCATCAAAGCCTCTGATCAAGCTCCCATCCTCCATCAGGGTCAACTTGTGAATATACTCATTCTTGTATTCCCCCACCAACCCCGTCCCTTCGGCGTTGAGATAGTAGACTACCTTGTTCTGAGCCTCGTCGACTATCATGTCGGTCTCTGTCGCGCGGTAGGTGTCGAAGAGGGTAAGAGACCGCGCCTGGAAAGCTAGATATTCCTCGCGGTTCTTGCTGGGGGCTTGAAGCGATGAGGAAAACGTGCGTGCGACGAAATCGGTGCTCGTAAGAGATGCCACGAAAGAGTGACCGTCGGCACTTCGTTCGTTATGAGCTTGGATCCACTGCTTCGCGGTGCGAACCATTTGCTCCCGTGGAGCCATCGTCGGCAACGGGAATGACGCGTGTCGATTCCCGAGGAGTATGGAAGACAGTCGCTTCTAAGCTGTAATTTCCTAGGTCGAGTTAAGAGGCAGACATAATTCATCTCTAGCTCAGCCAATTTCTGGCCTGCGAAGTGTGCGGGGCATCCATACCTCTGTTGGGACCTCTGGTTAAGTAAGATGGAGGGAGGAGTCTTTCACTTTGTATCTTTTCACTCAAGCATAAGCCACAGCTTTGGCGTGCACATGCACGCCTCCCATGGGCAACGAGTATGTAACACCAAACGAAGACGTCAACTTTTGAATCTCCAACTACCTGAGAGACCCATGATAGTATCAAGACATGTAAATGCATGCCGCCTTTGCCCTTTCGCTCTTTTGTGATATCGAGTCTACCCAAAACTGACACGATATCGATTCAAACATCTCTAGCTTCCAGAGCCGACCTAAATCAGAGAGGGCTTTAATACACCATGTGAGCGGGGGCCGGGGTGGGGGCTATTTCGACGACGCTCTGCGCTGAGCACCAACCGTTGAATACGTATCGTCTCTTTTCTCCGGACGTATGTTGAACTTCCTAAACCTACGTTCAGCTAACTCTTTTCCTTGACGCTAAGTGTAGCCTATTTTACTCTAATCTTCCAAGTTTGAAGTAGTTTGAAGTGCCCCGAAACCGTTTTTAGTCGAGATAATCCTTTGGCTCACAAGATGACTAATCTCACGATTTTTCATCTGTTTTCGCTATGGCCATACATCTCCACCGCGCTTGTTGCTTTCTATGCGACCGTCGTGTATCATAGACTCTTCCTACATCCTCTCGCCAAGTTCCCTGGCCCGAAGCTCGCAGCAGCAACGCGATGGTACGAATGCTATTACGATGTACTCTGCGGTAGATATACATGGAAGATAGCTGAACTTCATCAAAGATACGGTAAGCATGTGTCACCATTACTTGTTTATAGGATATTCTCATCCTTTCTCAGGTCCTATCATTCGAATTAGCCCTGAAGAGCTCCATATCAACGATCCGTCTTTCTATGAAAAACTATACCGGCAAGACGGTCGCTGGGATAAGTATGCATGGTCAAATGATGCTTTTGGCGTGCCTTTCTCGGCGATTTGTTGTCTAGGCCATGACCTTCATAAGAAACGACGTGTGCCCCTAGAACGTTATATGTCTAGGGCCAATGTCATTCGCAACCAAGGCACCATTCAAACCCTCGCATCCAAGCTCTGCCATCGCCTTAGGGAATTCGAAGGGCAATCAGAAGCAGTAAACTTAAGCAGCGCGATCAGTGCTTTCGTCCGTGATGTGGCTACACAATCGCTCCTTGGCAAGAATTACGATAACCTTGGCAAAGAGGACTTCAACTCGGCGATGACCAACGTCTTTCAAGGCGCGGGACACGTCTGGCGGACTACAAAACATTTCCGCTGGTTTGGCCCTTTGATGAAGTCTATCCCGGTGTCCCTTATGGAGAAGACTGGTGATGAAGGAGTAATCAACTTCTTCAAATTTCTCAATGTAAGCATCTTATAGCCATAGCTACCTAGCATAAATCTGACAAAGGTATAGGACACGTTGGAGGTGACGAAAGAATCAGTCAGCGCCTTTGCAAAGTTTCCTGCTGCCAACGAAGCCGCGGAAGAACGTTCCATGATTCAAGCTATCATGCAATCGAATTTGCCTAAATCAGAAAAGACAGTCATGCGTGTATTTGATGAAGTCAGCACTGTCACAGGGGCTGCTTTCGAGACCACCGCTGCCGCTATGAGGCTCGTCTTGTATTATGTGTACAGCAATCCTGTCATACTAAACAAACTCCGTAGCGAGCTCGCTTCAAAAAGTCCCCAGATGCCTGAAAGGTCAGACAACCGTTTTACAGCCTTGGAACAGCTTCCTTACCTTTCTGCAGTTATAACGGAAGGCTTGAGACTGAGTCCCGGGGTAGCAACACGTCTGGCACGTATTGCGCCCGACAGGGAGTTGCATTATAAGGAGTGGCAGATTCCAAAGGGGACACCCGTAGGTATGACAACGCTTCTGATGCATATGAATGGCGATCTGTATCCAGAGCCGAAGCGCTTCGAGCCAGAGCGATGGATGCATACAGGTGCCCGGAAGGACGCGGAAAAGACGTATGCACCCTTTTCAAGGGGAACGCGCAACTGTCTTGGAATGCAGTAAGCCCCCCGTCCTCATCACCGCATTATTCTATTGACTCCTTGGTTGTCCAGCCTCGCTTGGGCAGAAATGTACATTGCAATTTCGACCCTGGTCCAGCGATTCGATTTCAAGTTCGAAGGTGCAGGACCTAAGAACGTTGATGCTTATTATGATGACTTCATGATTGGCACGAAAGACAAGAGTGGAATTAAAGCCCTCATTGCAAAGTACGAGGCTTGACCAGAGATGCAGGTGGTATTGGTGAGTGTCATCAATGACAACAACCTCGCCAATTCTAATATGGTATTGTGCCAGACTGAATAGGTAGGTTCATATTAGATTGGACGATAAATAATTGAACCTGTTTGAAGCTGAGGAGTCCCGAAATCAAACTAAGGACTCTTCAGGGGCAAGGCCAGACCTTAATGGTGTTTACTGTCGTTACAGTTATATGCGTGAGTTTCGCAGATGCTTTTGGGAATTTGTTGCCGCTATCGTCTGTCTACCTAATTATATTGTTCATTGAGAAACCATAACCCCAGGATTGGAAGATTTCGAGATGCTGTAATCAGAACCAGCCGACTGTGGAGGCACTTAGCACACATATGATGCGCGCTTCAGTACGAGAAACATGCTGAAGACTAGGTCCGAAGGGCTCAAAAGGCATCCCTGGAGCGGCAACCAGCGCAACGAGAACCATGAGTTGGTTTCATTCGAGCTAAGTCGAAAAGGAAATATTATTGTTGCTCTCAAGACTTAATGCGTATGCTCTTGCTGGGATGTCACAAAAGACTAACCTCCCAACGAAGGAGGTTTTTGGCGCTCATTTGAGGAAGGATACCTTCGCCCGATCCGGGTTGACTTTCGCTCACCGTACTAGATGAGTACTCATTCGAGGATCTAGTTGATAAGGCCTTAAGGTATACTTACGAAAGATGTAGACATAGCTGAGACAGAGAAGACGAGGCTTATTTCTCAATCTACCGTAGAGAATGAAGATGGGTATGAATGGGCTGTTTGAGTTCCTCATCACTTAACCTACTTATGATGATACCATGCTGAGCTCTCAGGGAAGAGCGCTTCCATTAATGACATTGTTGATTTAAGGCCATAGGTTTGAAAGAGGCCTTTTCGTTTAGACATTGACTGCTATTCGACCCTGCTTCTTCCTAGGCACTTGAACCCCCTGAATTGTAGTTTCATAGCATCCTGTGTGATGAATTTGCTCCGTAAGAACAATATTACCAAACCGTTTTATTAACGGTTAACGCCGGTTAGAACAGTGCAATACGGAGATTCTCATGATACTCATAATTAGTGATAAACTCAGAGTTCGGCATATTGAGGCACGCATTAACAATCACAAGCAAATATGAAATCCCTTTTTTAATATCCTCACGCAAGTGAGGCGATTCCCATAAGGTCATGTTGACATTAAGTGGATAAGTAAGCGTGTGAAAATGTGATGAGTATAAAATCGCACATCTCAACGACGTCGTCATTGGTGATGCGCCTATGTATTTCGAGTTATACGAGCAGTCGCGCATGGGGCATCTGTCAAAGTCAGTCCACGGGGGCGAGAAAGCAAAAAAAAGGTGCATAATTAAGCCTCATCTCTACTAAGGGAGGGTTGGTGGATAGGCAAAGTAGGGCGCATCCTTTCTTTGCCTGCCAATACCGACGGCATGTTCCATTCAAAGAAGCGTCGCGAATATCTTCTTCTGCATTCATTCTTCTCTACCCCACTTATCACGTCCCAAGTCCTGGAAACGTTGTAATGAAACCGTACCCATAAGTGACGTATCACCTTTTTTTTCCTTGCCAAAGGGTTCAAATGCTAGGCTAGCAAGCGGATACTCGACGATCCGACTAGTGTTCCTGGCAGAAAATGGTAGGTAAGGGTTCGAACCGGCGATCGAATCTGGATTCGGGGTCCCTGTTCGATGGAGATGGACAAGACGAGGCGAGCCTCACGCGGAAAATCCGCATCG